GCCCTTAGATAATAGTAGAAATAAAATGTCGAGAGGTAGTGATGGGCAACGGGAAATCTGAATGACACATTAGAGAAAGATTGAGAGGTTGCGTATTGTGGTAACTGGTTAGCAAAAATGTTTCTGTCACCCTCCTTCTTTCGGCGATGGGCGGTGCCAACGTCGTATGCATGGTGTACGGCATCATCTCCATATTTCCCGAGGTGGACGCGCTGGTCGTCAGCCGGGTGATGCTGGTGCTCAGCAGACTCATTACTGTGGCGTCCGGTTTGATCCAGAACTCCAACGGGCAGCTTTCCATCGTCACTATTTTCGGTGTTTGCGTCGCTGCATATTGCTAGTGGGGTGTCTTCTTGCACTTAGGTGGTAGAATGAATAGAATGTCAAAAGTAGGACCAAATGACACACAATAGAGGAAGCTCAGGTGTACTTCTGAGGTTGCGTATTGTAAAAACTTGTTAGCTCAATCTTGTTCGTCAATCTGCTCCTCCCTGCGACGGGCAGGGCCAACGTGGTGAGCTGGGTAACAGTTAATAGAGAATTATAACGTGAAGCATGGTAGAATGCGGAATCGTATCCATCTTTTCCAAGATGGACGCGCTAGTCGTCAGCTGGGTGCTCAGCGCGGCGGACTCATTACAGTCGCGTTCGGTTTCATCCAGAACTTCTACGGGCACCTTTTCTTCGTCAGTATTTTCGGTGTTTGCGTTGCTGAGTATTGCTAGCGAGATGCTTTCTTGATTCTTGATAATAGTACAAACAGAATGCCAAAAGAGGTAGATACCGATGAGAAGCAGAACTGAACGATAGATAATAGAGAAAGATCATGTGTACCTCGATCCGTCTCCCTACTAGCATCAACAGTATAGAATTTGTACAAGCTTCTAGACACACAGATGGTTCTCTGAATCCGACCATGTCCGATGATCTTCTGCGTGGAATTAGCCAGGAAACATTGAATTGTTGATGTAATTCAATGTTCTGAGTGGCATTAACCAGGAAAGTAGTTGTTATTCTCTCGAAATCTGCCATTATTGTTCATCTCATGAACATTGTATGGAAATGACTTTGAGTTTTGTATTTATTCAACATTTTATTCCTCTTTGAGCATTTTTGGCTATTTCGTTGTTGATTTGTAATTAATTATCATATTATTGCTAGCTCGTTATATTGAAATGATGTAACTTTATTTCCTGTTACCAATAAATATCAAACTGATTATGTTCAAGCTAGTTTCACGACTTTGCGCACTGTGGTGCTGGCAAACATGCTGGGATTGGATAACCTCACCAACGCTTTCGGCATCACGATACTGTTCTATGGTCTGGCGAGCTTCGTCGGAATACCGCTGAGTGGGTACATACAGAATGTGAGCGGATCGTACGGCAACTGCTTCGTTTTCGCCGGTAGTGCACTCTTCCTGAGTGGAATACTCCTTATTCCTATTAATAAGGTTAGTGAGTGGGAATCTAAGAAGAAAAAACCTAGAGTTGTGCAATTTAGAGTTTAAGATTCAGATTGAAGAATAAACAAATGAGTTTTTTCTGTTTTCTTTTTCTTCCCTATCATAAATCTATTGGATATGGCTATTTTTTTATTATATCTCTCACTTCTCCTAATGTTGAAATAAGATATTTATGAGAGCTAAAATATGCAGTTTTATTCGCGGTAGTCAAGGTCATCATATCTGACGTGGCGTTTAAAATTTCATGTCATCGCAAAATGAGATGATGACCTTGACTACTGCAAAATGTAACTACTCCTGCTTCTAGAAATAATTGCACATCCTCCTTTCATCAACGTTTATTGTTTGGAGATCCAGCATCATAAAGCAATAACCAGAACCCTATGCTGCCTGCCTCAATATTAAAACCAATATCAAAATCATGGTTCACTATCTCCAAATAGTGAATAAATATTAGGGGTGCTGGCTGAAGGACCCCGGTCGATGGCCATTTGGTTTTAACCAATAAAGAACATTTATTATTATTATTATTAGGGGTATTTCCTATCTCCCGTATGTAACCCTTCGAACATTTACGAAAATGAAATTTCTTATGGTTATATATTTTCTATCAGGTCAAAATTTGTTAATTAGTTAATTTGATTGATTGTCTTCATTACCCCAAGAAACATTTTTGATTATAATAGGGATATATATAACAATACATTATATAACATAATAAATAATCATAACAATAATAATTGCACTTTTTTTTTCATGAAAAATATATATAAAATGAAAATATTAATATCCATTCCAAGTAGGTAATCAAATCGTGATTGATTAGTAGATATGGAATTGAAGTTTACTGAGCAGATATTTTTTGAAATTGATTTCAAATTTTTCTGCTTCAATATTTTTCAACTCATTTGGTGAGTAAGTAATTATATAAGATTTTTCCACTATGGAATATTGATTTTTCACCAAAATTTGGCATATACTAATTATTTGCTATCAATAAATTAAATTACCTTATTGTTCCATGGGCGTGAATCGTATTAGCTTCATTGAAATTCAAATTTGATATTTTCAATTCCTTCCTGACAAAATGAATGAAACAACAAATATTGAGTTTACATAATGAAACTAGATTCAGCAAGTCTTGAGGTTTGTATAGATTCACAGTTGATTCTGAAAAAGGTGAATTGAAAATGCACTTTATTGTTTTATTCCGTAATTTCATGAGTGGCTTCAAACGTGAAATATTTGTACGTCCCCAAATAGATATTTGTAGCTCAAAATTGGTCGTTTTTTGGAAGAAATTACTATATGGACCACTTTTGAATATAAATAATTCTCATGATTCTTTTCCAAAAGTTAGTGATGGTAACGTCAAAGACGTTTTATAATAAAAATTGTCGCACTAGTTTTTTTTGGAGGTTCGCTCGCCATACTCCAAACTACGCGTGCATCAAGAAAGTGTCCTATTTATAAATAATAATATAGGTACTATTTTCGGAAAATTACTAGAGAGCAGCTAGAGAGAACTAGGGTCCCTTGATGGAAACTGACGTAAAAGTCATCTTAACAGGGTACGGACAGATCATAGCTGCATTCTTTTTTAATGATCTAGAGACTTTAGTTTTGTCTACTGGCATCCCTGACATTGCTGTCACGTCACATCCATGGGCGCTACAGAAAATCATTAAAAATTTCAATAATAGGTATGTACAGGGTATACTTGTTGAGGAAGATCCTATGGCGAACGAGTATTGTAATTATGATTCGATTCTATTCAAAATTGGAAGGTATCTGAGGTTTTTCGGGGTTGGAGATAATAATGGGAAAGTCTACGAATATCGCTGAAGGGTATGTGCAGCAATCTCTCACAAAATAGCAAAACAGTTTGAACTCAATTGTGGATCACTGAAGTTAATAAAATTTTGAATTGTAATCAGCCAAGTACGAATTCTGTATAATAATGTTTTTTTATGAAAATATCACGAAAACTGCATGGGTTCCAGATCTCACTTCTAGTGTTATTCAAATAAAGACTGCTCAAAACTGCACTTTTCACATTAGTTTGTGTAATTATCACTCTATCACAAATTGTAAATATGTAGGATGCAAGAGTGAAAATAACGTGCACATTTAACGTATTATTTTTATTAGCCTACTTTTCGTCCTAGACGAAAGTTTTGTACATAGTGTGATATCAGTCACTCCATACTCTATAAATTCTTCTCCTAGTTGGATTTCCGAAAATATATTTAGCACGCATGACATGAGTACAGTAGTTGAGATACCTACATCCAGGTTTTCACCATTTCTCAATCATAAAGCTCAGCTCATTCAGCTCATAGATAAACTACTGCTCAGCTTGAAATCAGAATTCATTCAGTCAATTCAGTCTATGATTCAGTCAACTCTGGTATATAGTCTAATGATAGTCTCTTTTGAAATATATTAAGTTTTCAGTCTAATTTATATGTTCCCTACCTCGCAAAGATTATGCTGGAGTAGTAAACTCTAAAACTAAAGGATTGTTTATCTATTTGGTATAGTTGAATCAGGAATTCCATATGGAACTTACGTATGATACGCCAGTGACCTCAATATAACCTAAAAAACAACAAATATCAAAAATCTAGTGTTTAGCCCCAGAATTGAATAAGGATGGCACTATATAACTGTTTCACAAACACTTTAGAGTGAGAGGAGACGAGGATCTGTCCGTACCCTGTTAAGATGACTTTAACTTCAATTTCCATCAAGGGACCCTAGAGAGAACAACAGTGATCATTTTGTCTGAACAATCTAACCTAACTGGTTTCGAAGACAATATTTTAGGAAATTACTTGAGACAACAAAGGCTATATTCCGAATTCAACTGGTCAGTACTGTCAGTAGATCCACTGACTCTGCTGAAAAGCTGTGTTCCGAAATATAAAATTAAAAATACAGTGCTGTAATTCGGAACACGTTTTCATCAGTAATCAGCAGCAGTTGATCAGCTGGTGAAATTTGTAAGTTGTCATTGATCTGGCAGATGCTCCTGTTTGAGCTGAATAAATAACAGGCATTTTCTGATATCAAAATGATATTATTAATGTATTATTGATAAGCCAAGACTCAACAATGTTTGAAAAACAACGGAAATGTGTCATTCCTTTCCCCTCAAAAATAATGACAGTCCACTGAAGCCACACAACCTTTTGATAGTCAGCAATTTCAGCAGAATGTTGAGTCGAAATATTTGGAATGAATAGTATATCTGCTCACGAGTATCTGTCACTTTCAGTAAATTTTTTTGATTTCGGAATGAAAATTCAGCAGATTTAGTACTGTCAGTTGAATTCGGAATATGTATGTATATGTGACTGTACCACGAGCTCACCCGATAATCTATACGTAAGACGCTGACGTAAGATGCCAAGTGCAACAATCTGGCATCTGGCATCGTTGATAGTGTGCACAGTGCGTTGGGAGCCAAATATTGGATGACGGTGCTGTAACTGTCTGTAAGCACTCATGAAGTTAGGCATTTTTTGAGGTTAGATTAAACAACAACAAACAACAAGAGATGAATAATTTAACTTTGAATTTCTGATTACAGTGGTGAACTCTAATCAGTGAATCTCAAATAAAGAGATGCTCCATTTAGAATTCTCTCTCAGGATCATATTGAATCTAATATTCTTCACGGTCGTGAGCAGCGAAACACAAGAAACGCAGGTTTTCGACCCATTGGGCCCTTTAATAAAGTGTAGTTTCCTTCCATTAGAGTTCATTCAATGCACAGATCCAGTAGACCATAAGGGTAACAAAACCGCCAGAGATGAAATGCGGTACGGCTGCATCAAATTCGGGGGAAAAAAGTACCATGACGTTGAGAAGACAAAAGTTCTATGTACAGCTTTACAAAACATTGAATGTTTTGGCAACAGGACCTTCTTCAGAGAAGGTGTTCCTTGCATCAAGTACTCAAACCAGTACTTCACCACCACATTGCTTTATAGCATTCTGTTAGGGTTTCTGGGTATGGACAGATTTTGTTTAGGTCAGACTGGTACTGCTGTTGGTAAACTATTGACAATTGGTGGTCTAGGAATTTGGTGGATTGTGGATGTAGTACTTCTAGTGACAAACTATCTCACCCCAGAAGATGGAAGTAACTGGAATCCATATGTTTGAAATCAAACATAAAACTAGACTTACTGAGTAACAAATGTGATATATTTATTCCTTTCCTGCTGTATTTGTAACTGTTGGCACAGTCTCATTGTTTATTAAATTTGAAAATGTAGAAATGCTATCAATTTCATACATAGTTATACTAATTAATTTATGTGCCTACTAACTGATGAAGGCATATTGTTTGAATTTATTCTTTAAGTCATATATTATAGTAGGTATATTATTATGTACCCCATAATTATATATTTAAGATGGTATATTATATTTTATTTATGGTCAAGAGTCAATTTATTCTGATTATAATTGATACAATGGAGATTACTCCATACATCACATGGAATTCACAGATTAAACACATTTTGATTTTTATTTCTCCACATTTTTCATCTCATATATATAAATATAGAAAAAATCCCATTCTACAACTTTTCAAACTAGTTATACAGGGTATCCAAGAAATTACTACAAAATAACTTCCAATACAGTATGGTATGGAAATGAAGTAGTTTTCCAAACTCTCAATATAAAAAGCCAATCACCCTGTACAAGAGGATCATTTCTCATCATACAATACACATCAATTTACCCAATATTTCAAGCACATTAGCCCCACAAAAAAAATTCATTCTGCTGATATTGTGTATGTGAACCACCAAAATCAGTATTTGTTCAAGAATGATCAATGTATTTCAAAATATTCTCACTTCACAAAATTCATATATTTTTGATCCCTTCCAGCATATCTACTTCTTTGTATATCAAATACTCATTTCATAGTTGAAATAAACATAATTTCAGTTTGTAAATAAACAAAGAATTATGAATGAAAAGTATTTATTTTCAAGCAACAAAGATACCCCACAAAAAATACATTTTGCTGATATTGCCTAACCAAAATCAGTATTAGTTCAAGGATGACCCATGCATTTCAAAATATTCTTAAAACTTCACAAAATTCATATATTTTTTATCTACTTCCAGCATATCTACAGATTTGTTTTATAGGTACTCACTTTCATAGTTGAAATCAACATCATTTAAATTTCTAAATAAAAAACCAAATTATGAATGAAAAGTATTTATTTTCAAGCAACAAAGATATCCTGCTGCTACATAATTTAGGTATGTCAAACTTAAGAAGCTACATATCTATGTCCAACCTAGGAAGCAGGTGCAGAGTTGGAATTTGGTCCTCTCCTGCGTCCAAAAGATGCCACCACATTGACAAACCTCCTGTTGTACTGGATGCGCCTCTTTGCTCTGCCAGTCTTCTTCTTCTTCTTTTCCTGTTTTTCTACTTTGGGGGTCTGACCCTTCACTTTACCTGTTCAAAAAATACTTTATCAGCAATCTCAGGAGAAATGGTTACCAAGAGCAGACTAGCTTTTTATCTTGAGTTGTTACATGATGGAAATCCATAGTAAATGTAAAAACCTTCACAATTAATAAGATTTCTACAACATTGACAATCACAGGACAAGTTTTCCTAACACTTCAGTTCACTTGAAGAAGCTATCGTGTCAGGAAACATGTCCTGTGATCAAGAATTTGGTAGAAATCTTACCATTTTTCGAGTTTTTTACATTTAACTCCATATATTAGTTAGTGAAAGGAAATCTACTTACCAGCACGAGCCAAAGATCCATGCACTTTACCACCAAGAAGGCCAACAGTCAACTCAATAGCAACATTTTCAAAGGAGGAAACAAGGCTGTCTTCAGAAACTGGGACTCCAGCAGCATAGAGACTGATTTCAGAATCTTTCAAAGATTCCAAAGAAGCAATGCGCCCCTGAAAAAAAAAGTGCTTGAAACATTTAAAAGAGAACACATATCAGAGATTAGTTAGGTACACCTATTAACTAAATGATTTCAATAGAGACAATCACTTGAGGAGAGTTCTGCTTCAATAGTGCTCTACTAGAGGAAGAATCAATCATTGTAAAAAATCTCACCTTGATTTGTCCAATAGTTTCAGATTCTTGACACTCAAGAAAATGAGTATTTTGTCCTCGAATACACAACTGCATCTTGGAAATGTGCTTGCTTCACCTGCAAAATACAAAACGGTCACAATGCAGAACAGATATCAATTAATATTATAAGTTCAACGGAGCATTATTAGACAATTATAAAATTATATTTCCGTATTACAATTTTAATAATGACGAACTCTACCAGAACAATTCAATAAAATCTTCAAAATACGGATAAAATATTGAAAAAACAAAATCTTACAGTAATGAATGATCGTCTACTTCACAAAAGAGGTTAAAAAGAACACGTTTCAATCATATGTCATCTGTCAATCCTACAAGCGGAAACAGAACAGCAGTTTCCTCTTCTTCTTTTTTGTTCGTTTACTTTTATCACCTGTTGTTTTATTATTATGACTTCATTTTGCCCAGATTCACGTCCACAATCAATCAGAACGGTAAAATGCAGGTTTGATCCTGAAGCAAATTATTATTCAAATAGCGAATCATTATCGGCCTTAACACTTTTGACAGTAATCGCCTTCAAAGTTGTTTAATTAAATTTCTTCGAAACTAGGTGATAGCCGATCTCGAAGCTGGTAGTCTTGGTGCAACAAGCACAAACCATTGCGAGAATCTAGTGAATATCTGATTGATCTGACTGAGATCTTATTTATGCATCGTCTGCACGGATGTCTGGGCAAAACAAAATACTGTGCAGTACCGAAGTCTTGACGACGGCCTGTAGACAGTTCCCTTACACTACATCTAATATTCTGACTTCCATCGTACGACTGTGCACACGATGTGAAATTCAAGTGGTTGTTCAAACGTAAATTATGGCGAATGGGTTCGTGGTACAGTGCCAGGATGATTTACTCACGCCCAAAGCGTTGGACATTTTTTTTATTTTGTTTCATCGAGTAACTTCTCGGATATTTTCTACATAAAAGATTGATTCAGGCAGGGGGCAGGGTGCGGTTGTATTGTTTTTGAAAAGTAGTATCTCTCATTTCCTCTAATGATTTTTCGAGGAATATAGTTTCTGGAAGGTTTTTCTAGGTATAGAGTTAGATTTTATCGTGAAGTGTTAGTGGTCTCTTTTTTGTAATTTCTCGAAAAATATATTTTTCAAGGAGGTCCATTCAGGCTGATTTACGTTGAATCTAAGATGCCTAGAGACTCATAAACATCTCAGTTGAATCGTTTATAAAAAGTAGACTTTACCCTAAATCAGATTCCTTAAGAGTTAAGTAGAGATTAACGTTGTTGGTGAAACCGGGCCTCAATTCTTTTTCATCTTTCCAAGGGCTCGTGTATAGCTAGCCGTGAAACAAGGCAACAGTGTAGAATGACCATGAATGACTAGAAATTTGTCGTTCTGTGTGTGCTCTGACGACATATTATGAAAACCTCTCAATTTGAGTTTTTTTCACTATAGTAAAAAAAATTTCGATTGAGAAAAACGAGAGAGAAAAAAGGAAGAGACCAATTTCAGTATTGCTGAAAAAACTCAGTTCGTGGACATGGTTGAAGCTCGATTCAACATTATTGAAAAATTAAAACAAGCAAACTGAATAAGTAATCTGCTCTCTCTCTCTCGTATCCAACGGGGACGCCGCGCCGAAGAATTGATTATCTTCGTATTCTTCGGGAGCAAGATCATCATATGATCATTAATGACCGATATAGAGCTGCCATTATCTAATTGAAAGAAATGTCATTATCTCAAGACCATAATAACTGAGATATAATAACCATACCATGATCATGCCATCCAGGAAATGCATAACCTTGCTTTTCATTATACATGACAGATAACGCGCGATCATTTCCGTAACTGGTGAAAAATTGCCAGTTGAGAAATAATTTGGATTAATCGAGTTATTCGGTGATTCTGGTATGGTGAAACGATTTGAATTCTTCATGGCGATTAAATTCGTCAGTCAACTCCAAAGCGGAGATTAAATCCATTGGTGAAACCGGGCCAGACCGGGCCTTATATTACATCGTTATGTTGGAAGTGGTTGGAAGCCAAATATTGGATGACAATACGCGAACTGTTTGCAAGCTTTATTTGATCTCCGTCATTGACTGTCACTTGTATTTTTGTGTTTGTGCCAATTTTTCCATTGTCTTCTGTCTTCTGTCTTCTGTCATATTCCTGGTCCCCATGTGTTATTGTTTATCTTTAATGTTTACATTGTTTTGATTGGCAATGGTCATAGAAAAATTATCAAACTAAAAGTATTATTGTGTGTTTGAAAGAAATAATATCTTGACATCTAAGCCCTAATCGACACTCTACTAGTAGTAATACTAATCTAGCACTTGTTCAAGTGCTTTACAATTCGATAAAATCATAGTATGACAAATTTCATGATGGATTATGAGTTCAAAATGAAAACCCAGAATGAGAGGGTGAAAGTTGAGGATCTGTTCGATTACGAGGGATGCAAAGTTGGTAGAGGCACGTACGGTCACGTATACAAAGGCCGAAGAAAAGACGGATCGGACACTAAAGACTATGCCCTCAAACAAATTGAGGGTACTGGTTTGTCTATGTCTGCATGTAGAGAAATTGCTGTAAGTCTTGAAATACTCTTATAAATGCATGAGAATACCCTTCAGGTCTTTAGGAGGTCAACATAAAACAGATGTACTAAGTAAACAACCTGTTGATCATGTAAAGGGACATTTCATTACAATAACCAGGATCAACTCATATATTGGTGAATTTTTATCTCCATAAAAGAATAGATACAATATTTTTTGCAGCTCACTTCTTGTTTGAGGCAATGTTGGTGTACTTAGTTGAATATTTATGTTTCTCCTTGTTCTAGCTCTTGAGAGAACTAAAACACCCCAATGTAATAAACCTGATCAGGGTATTTTTATCTCACAATGACAGAAAAGTTTGGTTGCTCTTTGACTTTGCTGAGCATGATCTGTGGCATATCATAAAATTCCATAGAGCTGCTAAGGCAAACAAGAAGCCAGTGATGGTTCCAAAAGGGATGGTAAAGTCACTGCTTTACCAGATTCTAGATGGAATCCATTATCTTCACTCAAATTGGGTACTGCACAGGTGAGAAATTTGAGAACTACCCAATTCCTTTTTGTAATTTTGCAATACTTCATGGGATATTATTTATTTTTTCAAGTGAACAAGCCACTATATTTTTATACCATATGACACTCCATTGTTTTCTAGTTATATTTCTGGAATTTGGAACATGGAATAAACTCACTAGAGGGCACTTTCTAACATTTTAGGAAATTATTTTCATTTCCATATTCCTGGAAATGACATCAACTTTGGATTTTGAAAGGGAACACCCTGTATTTTATACAATATTTGATTGGATTATTTCCAATGATTATGATGCTATTTACATTCAAAGTTTCCATAAGCTCAATGAGTATTAGAGAGAAAAGAGTTTCCATATTGCACTGTCACACTTATTGAGCTCCTTGAAACTCTTTGAATGTGAATATCTTGGTAATCTGGTAATTCTTAAGAATAACCCAATCAAACTCAATGTTGTCGAATTCTCTATAATAATCTCTAACCTATAATGGAAGAATACAGGGTGTTCCATTTAAAAATCAAAAGTTGATGTTTTTTTCCAGGAAAACCAATGGATAAAAAAAATTTCCCAACATTTGGGAAAGTCACTCTAGTGAGCATATTCGATGTTCCAAATTTCAGAAATATAGCTAGGAAACCAAACCAGAATAGGGGGCTATACCATGAGTCTGTGTCACCTGGTATCTATACAAATTTTATAAAGATTTGGTTGTTTGTACTGAATAGGTTCTGAAACTACTGGACCAATTTGAAAAATTCTTTTAAAATTAATAGCATTATCCCTGATGAACATAGGCTACTTTTAATCACTGGAAAATGTTTCATTCCTATGGGAAAATGGGTAATAGGTCTATGGGTAGTAAGAATTAAAAGTGAAATCACATCTTCCTAGAGGTTCTTACTCTAGAAAAAACATGTCATGTAAAAAAAAGAAAGTACAGTTGAAAATATACATAGTACATGTTGTCAGGTACATTGGTCACAGTGTAGTATAAATAAATTGAAAGTAAAAAATTTTTAATAAAAAGCTTTTGCTCTAAAAAGAAGAAAATAGAATATTCCTTTATATTTCAACTATCAACTTATAACCTCATTAAGGAGGGGTTTACCCTCTGAAATAGGTCAAACTAAATCTAAGGTGTAAAGGGGGAAGTAAAAATCCTGTCCAAAGGAGGCGGGGCCCGATAACAAAGGAAGTCGTCTAGTGTCTCACTCCAACTCATTCTAGTGTAATATATTTCAACATTTATAGTAAAAGTGGCCTTGAGTGTTACCCCTTGAGGCTTCTGCTGTCGTCTGAATTCTCCGAATAAGTTCCACACGCTTACAAGTTGTGCCATAGGCAATATACATCAGTATTCCGTAAAAATATGCATAGGCCGAAATGGAATATGAGTATGGAGTAATAAAATTAAAATTGTTTTCAACATTATGATGGATATTTCGCATATGAGTGGGTATTCATATAGCTAATGATAATAATATTAGGCCGGATGCTAGTATAGGTACATACCCAGTGTTCATTTGAAAATTTTCCAACCGCAATGTCTGGGTTTTCGTAAAATCGCCGAGACAGGTAAACAATAACTATGAGGAGGACATGTTTTCACGTAAAAATCACCTTGCTCGTCTCATCCCCTTTGCCTCCACTGATGCCAGCCGCCAGCCCCTCAAAAATGTTAAATGACATTGTAGGGGTGAGAAGTTTTCGAAAGAATATACCCGGTATACCTATATGAGCATAGATTAGTGGTATGTATACTCAACTGCAAAAATATAATTCGAAAGTACGAATCTGAATAAAAGAAAGGCAGCAAAAACAGTTCAAGATAGTAAAAAACCGAAAGGGAATTTTTTACAGAAAAATACTGCTATTCGAATGGCTTGCACTTACCTATACATGATTTATTGATTGAAGACAATTGCAAATGGAATATCAAAATGCATTGTTACAGGGGAAGAAAAATATCTATTACATGAGTGGAATTTTTTGGTTTGTATAAACAGAATTTATATTGTGTAATAAACAACGCCATATATACAGGGTGTCTCAGGTTTTACTCGCCTTACTTTGATATATTAGATACGTATTTTTCTGTTTTGTCATGGAGGAACATGTTTTTATTATATGGGGTGTTAAGGTTCGCATACATTTTTGGTTTTTAAAAACCTAGCGATCTGAAATTCGGTGAGCACTTTTCTATCGGCAATATGAACAGTCCTAATCCATTGAAAAAACTGGGTGTTATCGTTACCCCCAATGAGAGAAAAATGTTATTCTTTTTTGAGCCCTCTGACATGGAACTCATCAAATTTTTTTTTATTGGGACGCTAGTGGTGAATCGAAGCTAATGAAAAATCATTATTATTTCTTCACCACACTTTGTGTTTTTCATTTGTTTCAACATCTTTCGTGTACGTGAACCGTTCAATATTCAATTCCAATGATAATTTGATGTAAGATAAACATTCAGGTTATAAAATTGTTATGCATAGTAGGTGTAACATTATTTCGAATAACAAGAAAACTAAGAAGTATAAGGACAGTTCATATATAACAGATAGAAAAGTGCATACCGAATTTCAAATTTCTAGGTTTGGTTTCAACAAAAATAAAAAATAAAAACCAAAAATTCATGCGATCTCGAAAACAAGTATCTCCACGACAAAACAAAAAAATACGTGTATAATATTTTAATTTTTGCTATCGATTGTCAAAGTTAGATGAGGTTAACCTGAGACACCCTGTATATATTACAGGAACAACTTCAATTTTTAATCTCCATATTCCTTTTGAATCTACTATCCACTATTTCGATTACATTTTATTTTGCCAAAATTCATCATTGCGAGGTATATTTTGACAGACTGTCTTCTGCGGTATTTATTACCACTTCGATAATTACTACTCGGCATTATAACTTTTGCTTACACAAATAATGCACAAATATTGAAAAACGCAAATGTCACTGACGGAATACTGAAACAAACTGAACAAGAACAATATTCCATTCCCCCGTGTATAACACTAATACCAGGATTCTTGGACCCTTTATGTCCGCCGCTTTTATGCCCACCGCCTTTATGCCCATCGCTAGCCGCTTGCCAAACATGTTAAATTTTTTATCATCTAATTGGGTGAGTCACCTGGAGCGAAACTATTATTCTTCAATGAGAGATTTTTCTGTTCATCTATTTCCAGAAGGCAAATTCTCAATGTTGACAAGAATATTAAAATGTGTAACTCGTATATTATATAATACCAGTAATTACCTAGAATAAATATGATGGAACTTCTGGCATTCCTTATATTCGCATTTTGAAATTGGAATTGGGGTCCTACCTACAAACCATACTTATTTTTATTACATGATATGGGTTACCTAATAAACGTACCTATACGCCGTATTCAAAAATTCAATCAACCTATCTACAACTTCTTATGGTTTCATCTCCAGTGTTAAAATTTTCTGAATAGCTTCAGTGCTACTTTTTATGAATGAATTCACTATACATTCAACCATTCATAGTATCCATGTAGAAGTGCATATTTCGTGTGAGGGCGCTCGTATCAGTGAAGAAAAATGATCCAAAATTGCGTCTGCAGAGGTCCAGCGAAAATCACTTTTGATGGAGATATTTTGAATGGATCCTTGCGAATTTTTTTGACAACAAAGATAAATGTATAAGTGAGGCATCTCTCGAAGTACTTTTCCAAAAAAAAAAAATATACCTAGTGAGAAAAAAAATAGTGAATCTGGTCAATTTTCTGGAATTTTTTTCGACTATTTTTTTGTACTCCGAAAGATGCCTAGATCCAACCTTCAAGAAACAGAACCGTGAAAAAAATCTTAAATTTATTCAGCGAGCTTCGAGTATTTTGATTTCTGCCGTTCCTTGTTTCCCCAATGATCGCTCATAGGGTTAAACCCCTCTTAAACACAATTTATATAATCATAAAAGCTTGTCCTGACGATCGATATTTGATTAAATTGAAATTTCAAAAATTTAAACTTGAATTATTACTAGTTCATTCACACAAGTAAAGCACATGATCATATAAATTGTGTATAATGAGGTTATAAGTTGATAGTTAAAATCATGAAGGAACATTTCATTTTGTTCTTGTTAGAGCATTTAAATATCATTATTATTTATTAAAAATGTTTATTACTTTCAATTAATTTTTTAATTTTTAGTTATTGCTGGCTAGGTTTCTTAGTCCCTTCATTTCATTCAATGCATCATTGTTGCTAGGTCGTTTGCCGGTAAATTTTGAGGCCTCCTAATGATTTTACACATTATTTTCCGACTTGCTCTCAACGAGCCCTTTCATTTGATACCCATATTGTAGAAGGGCATTAAAAATAACATCATTTTTTTATTTATTATCAAAAGTGAAATTTCATTCACATTCTGACAGGATTAGGAAGTGAAATACAATACAAGATTGAAATTATACATTTTCATTCAAATGTCACAATATATTGTACAGGGTGAGCAAAGCTCTTTGTCTCAGCACTATCAGAAAAAAAAAAAGAAAAACGATAGAAAACATTTGAAAAGACGTTCTTGAATGGTATTGAGTACCTAAGGTCTATTTTTAGCCTGATTTTCAAGAGTACCTATTATTTCATGAACCTTCCACTCTTGGAAGGTGAATGAATGGTGAATAAAATGTGAATAAAAGAACAATGTTTGGAGGAATTGTTTCATCAAGATGAATATCTGTGTCGCCCAGAATGTACACCTTCATTTTTTCCTATCTGGGGAAGAAGAAGCTCCAAAGGCAAACCTGGAAAGACAATATGATGTAGCTCTTGAGTTTGAACATTTGAACTCATAGTTTCAACCTTCAAAATGTTTTTTAGTATCTCATCAATATTGTCATTCTCCTTTTTTCTTTTGGTTTCAGTATTTCACTTTTCTTTGCAATAGATAATAGCCCTTCTCGAATGGAACAGTTTGTGGGTTTCATTATCAATGTCCATATGAAAAACATCGTTCTTAGAATTCAAGTTATGATTGTTATGAATATCCACACAATATATTATTATAGTTTTTCTCAAAATCGATCTGAACAATTTTCAACTTACCCATGAGGACAATTTATGTTTGTCTTGCTTGTTTTGCATCCAAAGGCAACACGAGGACGATTCGAGACCAGAGATAAGTTACCCCCTATACGAGTTCGAGTACAGTCCACGTCACATGCTCCTTCCATTCCATCGCATTTGAGATAGTGGTAGCTAGAGTTCCTAAATGTACTTGACACTGCTGTTTTGACGTTTTTTGTATATTAGAGTACGGACACTATGACAAGCACTGACCATCAGACATTACCACAAATAAATTGATGGAAGAAGCGGGAACTGACAGTACACGGACGTTCTTGACATACATTGAGAGAATTAGGAGAAAGATGCAAGCTCGGATGCAAGCTTGTGCAGTTTCCAACTGTGAGAACACGGGAAATCAATTCACTCTATTTGAATTTCCATCGGATAACGAAATTCTACAAAAATGGAAACAGAATATGATGCGGCCGGCATGGAATATAGGTTCAGGCCCCAAAATTTGCGAGATATTCAAATTTCTTGGTAGGATAGAGAGAATTTTTCAACGCATCTTTATCAGGTACACTTCAGAACAGAAGATTTGATGTTGAAGAATCGGATCGCATTGAGAGAAATAGCCGAACCAGGTTAAACCTACTTCCGTATATCTTGGAGAACCTTTATTATTTATCCTGACTGAAATCAATAATTACTTATTACCTACCACTCTTGTACAAGTGGAATTGTTCCATTCGAAATAAAAGTATGTTTCATTGCTTGAAATTTATCAGTTTTTACCCCATTCTGAACTTTTGTGATCAAAAAATATTCAACTGAACGTATATATACCTACATATGAGAAACTTATTTCATAGGAATAGTATATGTATTTCGTTGGTATATATATGTACATACCAACTTGATATCGACCTCCATTGAGGTTCTTCAGCCTTATCATTCAATATGTCGAGAAAAAATAATTTTCTCATCAATTTATCGTACCCCTTTACCCACTCGAGGAGACGCTATGCTCTCTTATACAAAAATCAAAGACAGAGAAAGATATATGGATGTACTCTTCCCAGGACTTGTGGAAGAAGGAAGATGCGAGGAACCTTTATCTAAGGGAAAAACATATTCTTGTCCTTGTCTGGCGAAACATATGATTTGCTTCAAAATCGTTTGTGGTTATATTTGATTGTCACTGCTCATCTAGTGTCCGTACTCTAATATACAAAAAACGTGAAAACATCAGTGTCAAGTATATTTTTAGGAACTCTAGTGGTTGCAATACTGGCGAGTACAGGTGTTCGAATTCTTCCGTAGGAATCGAATACAACCATCGAATACTTACCTATTCTTTGTACTCGAGTACCTCATAATAGTCGTAAAAGCCAGCGCCAAAAATATTATCTGAATTTACTAAGCCTAGTTTTTTCACAGTTTATTACAATGGTTTTGTAGACAAACATACTGCGGTCAGTCAAGCGAAACTGAGAACAGGTGTCCCTGGTATACTATCGAAGTTGTCGTTCCTACCGAGGTAATGCAATGAATTTACTAAGGCTGAAAATCATTATACACATTGTATATTGCATATGAATGAAAGTAATGAAAGTCAGTCAGCTGACTGTGGGGACGGGAGCTGGTCAGTCAGCCCCAATGTATGCAAAAAATAAATGAATTGCAATTCATTATTACTTGATTATAATTCGATCGATAATATTGAACATTCAGTATATTATAATATACAGGGATTGACAAAGGTATGGAACCATGTGAATATCTTGGTAACGGTTTGTTAGATTGTTGTGAATATATGTACAGGGTGATTTCAAATTATGGCAGATTCGAAAAGTTTCTCACCCATGTGGTCACGTTTTCAATTTTTCCGGAATTATTATCCACTTCCTTATTTTGAACAGAACACCCTGTATTTTTTTGAATTTTCATATCCTCCCTGAAGATCTGATTTCACCGATATATCACACTTGGAGTATAGCTGGAATGATTACAGAGATACAGGGTGTGAAAAATTGAGATTTTTCCACTTTAGGAATTTTTTGTGTCGAAACTATGAATTTTTGGCAAAACAGCACAAAAAAGGTCATCCCTACCTGATATTCACAGCACGCCAGCAGAGACGAATTGAAATTCTTCAGGGCTGATTTTTTTATATAAAAATTTGGGAATCCTGAACACGAATTCGGAATTTGCGGCCAATTTTGCCCCCTAATATAATTTTCCAGCAACATGGGTAGTTCCATCGCTGCTGACGTGCAGTTTATATCACGTAGGATGACCCCTTTCGTGCAATGAGTTCATTTTCAGATATTGTTCCTGAAATTTTCATGGCTCTACGTCAAAATATACGCAAAATAGTGGGGTGTTATCATGAGAAGTGAGATACACTGTATAATATACTGAATGTTCATTGTTCAATATCATCTATCGAATTATAATCAATAAATGGCCTAATCAATCGATTTCGTTGAATAATCATGCGCGAAACTTGTATTTCTTTTTTTGCTGACTGACGGGCGTTGTCCCGCAGAATTGATGACTGTCCATTTTTTTCATGATTGATATAACAACAAATAATATCCTCACAAACATTTTGAAGTGTAGTGAATGAATTACAATTCATTTATTTTTTGCATACATTGGGGCTGACTGACCAGCTCCCGTCCCTACAGTCAGCTGACTGACTTTCATAACTTCCATTCATATGCAATATACAATGTGCATAATGATTTTCAGCCTTAATAAATTCATTGCATTACCTCGGTAGGAACGACAACTTCGATAGTATACCAGGGACACCAGTTCTTAGTTTCGCTTGACTGACCGCAGTATGTTCGTGTACAAAACCACTGTAATAAACTGTGAAAAAACTAGGCTTAGTAAATTCAGAGAATCTTTTTGGCTCTGGCTGTCCGTCTATAACTACTTGTCAATGTTTTGTTTTGTCCGCAGAGACCTGAAACCGGCCAATATCCTGGTGATGGGCGAGGGACCTGAAAGAGGCAGGGTAAAAATAGCGGACATGGGGTTTGCCAGATTGTTCAACGCACCCCTCAAGCCGCTGGCCGATCTCGACCCTGTCGTGGTGACATTTTGGTATCGCGCCCCCGAGCTGTTGCTAGGCGCCAGGCACTACACCAAAGCAATAGGTAGTGACAGTGATATAATAATAATAATAATACGTTCATTATTTCCCAAAAAAACATGACAAGTATAAGGTTGTAGGTTCAGCATACTTAATGTGGCGAATAAATTGCCAGAGTTCAGTTACATTCAATGAACTCAATATAAACACCTGGAAGGGAGACGGCCGTTCTCTCGAATAGCACAAAGTGTGTCAGGGGCAGCTGCAACAAAGATAGCATGATTTACAGTAACCTGTCTCTTTCCTACTCGTGTTGTTTGATGGTGGATTGGTGTTTACATTTTCATTTATCTAATAATTAAAGTACTTTGGATTTTTTTCTCTCATCTAAACAGGCAAGAAAGTGAAGACATGAGTTCATTGTCTTTGTTTATGTGAAATATCTATTCATGTGGGGTGTTTTGTTTTATAAAACGGACTGAATTTGTTGGTGTGAACACTGTGAACTGATTGTTGAGAAGGTTTTGATTAACAAATGGTGATTTATTGTGTCGCCTTTGGATGCAAGAACGAGCAAGACAAAAGGATATTGTCATTCCATGGGTAAGTTCAGATTTTTTGGAAATATAGTTCTTGAAATGATCATCAGCTAGGTATACAATGTTCCCAGTCTCAGAATATGTTCGAAATTATACCTATATTATTTGTCAAAGTTAAATACTTCCATGATTTTTCCATAAACATATTGAGTAATATTATTTCTTGCAGTTTTCCATTCAGGCATTCTTGAATTATGGATTAAGGCAGTTCGTAGAGGGAGTTGGACTCCATCTAAAACCAGCAAGCTTTGTGGAGAGCATTTCCTGTCAACTGATTATTTATTTAGACATACCAGGTAGGTACTGCTAGGTTATTGAAACCAGATGCTGTACCCAGTATATATCCATTTCCTAAGCATTTGTTACCAAAAAATACTGATCCTAAGGAAAATAAGAAAACTCAAAGATACCTAGTTGATTATTAATAAAAGAAAGCATGTTTGCACCACTTTAAAATAAAAAGCTAGGTAGTAATTTATTTTCAGGATGCATCTGTGGAAGTTCATAACTTGGGTCCTAAGTAAGATGTTTCTCATATCATGGACTTTACCTATGACTTCCAGCTCCCAAGTTTCGAAGTTCATCAATAAAGAAACCCAAACTGTTCCATTGGAGAAGGATATTGTATTGAGAATTGTTTGTAGGCAGTGACCTAATGGTAAAATAGGAACATATGGAAATTATGCTCAAAATGGACCTTAGGTAGTCAATACTATTCAATAAACCAATAAAAGCAAAAAACAAGAAAATATTTCAAGTAATGCGAGCGCTTCCTATTAGCGAAAAGATAGAGAGAGATAGGTATCCGTAAACACTGCGGGTTGCCTGAACAAATATTTTTGCCTCACTCGCCTTTCACAGAGGGTCCCTTCCAGTTGTTTATATTAAGTTCATTGGTTACATTCTACCAAGTAGATTGAAACTGTTCTTCCATTCTGGCCAGACCTGAACCTAACAAGAAACTGTAAATCTAACGGCTAAAGAACCTAAGAGCATTAGTATAGTATATGAAGAGTTGAGAAGAAGAGTAAGAGAGGAAAAGAAGAGGGAAAAAAAGGAAAGAGACAAGTATGCACAGCAGGATGATCACTAAAAATAAATAGAAGCGATTCAATCTCATATATTTACACCAAACATGAATCAGAAATTCTGGAGTTGAAGCAGATGTTTCGTTACCATACTTTTAAATGATTCAAGCGAACGACCGCGATCTGTGACACGAAGAGCATTAATATGATGGGCGATGTTGTAAGAGAAACTTCTTTTATAAATTTATTTCCTATGTCTAGGCACTAGACTAGAGTGACGAATATTGAAGTTATGAATATCACTTCTGAAAGAGATTTTAATATACAGGTATTCCGGCTTTTTTGTTTTTAGCACTTTGTAGTAGCTACAAACTATGTGCAATTTACGTCTGTTAAGCATGTTCAGCCAATTAACATCTTTCAACTTATGAGAAATCCTCTCTTCCGTCTGCTGATAACAAAAATGAGTGTTGAACAGGAATTCTGAACTTCTTGAATGCGTTTTATATCAACAACATCTAAGCAAGGTCCGTAGACAGTATCGCAGTAATTGAGCTGGGATAACACCAATGACTCACAAAGCATTTTCTTGATATCTTGTTCAAGAGAGTGGCTAAGAGGGTAAATCATTTCCAGATTATATATGCTTGAAATGTTCTTTGAATCGAAGTATATAATCGATAATTAACCCCTGATTCAGATGGATTGATTTTGAGTAGGTAGGTACGAAGTAGGGAATTCAAATCTGAATTGATCAGGTAATTAAAGTGTATACTATCCAAAGCGTTGAAAGTAAGATACAATTGGGTATCATCAGCATACATGTGGTGGTTACAATGTTGTGAACTTTCCGGAAAGGTGGAAGTGCGAACAGTGTGAATAAAAGCGGACCTAATATGCTACCTTGAGGTACGCCACATGATACATCAAAGGCCTGTGATACTTCATCATTCAAAATCACCTTTTGACTTCGGTCAGTCAAATATGAACTCATTAACTCACATGCAGACTCACTGAATCCAAGAAAATGCAATTTAGATAATAATAATTCACGGTTAATCAAATCGAAGGCTTTCGAAAAGTCAAGTAAAATAAGAATAGTTGCTTTGCTCTCATCTCAGTGGTATGACGTTCGCAACTTTATACATGCGTGGAAAATGCGATTGCTGCAGACATTCATTCAGGATATAATTGATGAAAGGAATTATGAAAGGGCAGCATAGCGTTTACAAAGTAATATTTAGTCGATCACTACGAAAGGATCTAGATGAAATATTCTGAATTATATTAAGCACAGTCTATTCATCCACTATTTCAAAAGAAAAACGCATTTATTCCAATCTTCCTATTGTTAGTGTAATGGTTAATTAAATCCGCGCTAGGAGCAATTGCATTACTAGAGAGATCAACAAAGTATTCATTCAAGGCGTTCACATCAGATATATTTTCAGGTAATTCATCGTGTCTAGATTTACTAATATTCAAATTTCATTATGAGGTAAACTTTTTTTTCAGATAATTTGCGTGCAAGAACTGTCAGATGACCGACCCTGGAGGTGAAACATTGAAACCCAACCTCACTTTTCTCATCTGTTTATAAATGATTGAAATAGTTTTTAACAATCATTTTGGCATACGAATCATGTTTTTTGACTATTCATTAATTCGCGCATGCCATCACATTGTGCTGTTGTACAATGCACAAAAAATGCTGGGAGAGATGAAGGAATCCGGTTAGTATATTATGATTTAAAAGTAAGTACCTACTATTGTCACTCATATATAGTTTTCATTTCAAAATTTGGTAATTTCTCTGATTTATCATCGGAGTTCTTTCTGCAATAGGAGCTAATAGAAATACTCGTGAAATTTCTGAAAGAATGCAACAAGATTGGATTCACGCAATCAAACAGGAGGACTAGTCTGACATGCTGACGGAATATGTTTTTATTTTCAATCTATTAGCAGTATCAGCTTCTATTGCAGAAGTGGCAGAAGGAATTTTAATAAGAAATGACAAAATTTCATAATGAAAACTATGTGAGATTTCTATTTACCTGAAAAATCATATTCCTTCGTCTCTCGCTGCATTTTTTGTGTATTGTACAACAGCCCATTGAGAAGGCATTTTTTTTTTTATCGCTTGGAGCGCACGAGAGGGAATCCCTATAATGTTCAAAGAACATCGTGCGTTCCTAGGGAGGATAGGGATAGGAGGTAGGTATTGGAATTTTTTTTGAACTTCTGGAGATTATATGTTGTTGGGAATACTTCCTCAGGCAATGAATTCCAGAGCCCAGCCGTTCTATGGATGAAGGAGTTTTGATAAAGTGCTGTTCGGCATCTTTCGAGGTTGACAACGAAGGGATGTGCTGACTGGGCTTGTCTAGTTCGTCTGACTGGTATTGCTAGTGAAGGGATGATAGCAGAGATTTCCGAAGAACATTTCCCGTGGAAGTATCGATAGAAAAGTGAAAGGTCGCCGACCTTTCTACGGTGTTCCAATGATGTCAAAGAGCGAGTGAGTGTGGCGTCACCCACCAGGCGGATGGCTCTTCTCTGGATGGAATCTAAGAGCATCAGCGTATGTTTCGCAGGCATGCTTGAATTGACGAATAGCGCAAAAAACACGATTCGTATGCCAAAATATTGTGAAAAACTATTTCAATCATTTGATTCCTCTGTAGACAAATAAAAAAAGTTTGTGTTTCAATGTTTCACAGAAGAGTGGGTTTTTGTTTCAATATTTTACCTCCAGGGTCGGTCATCGTGCACGCGACCTATTCTTTCTAATCAATCAATCGTTTATTGGTGTTATTGTACAACAAAAATGTATGTACACAGTTCAAATATCATACAAAAAAATATATATCCATTTAAAATGTCTCAAAAACTACACATTTTGAAATGGGTCTGTTTCAGTAAAGAATTAATTGTATTTCATTATTTCGAAGTACTAACCTTAACTAGTTCACTGTCGCTGACCGTTTTTTCCATAGAGCTCTGTAATTTTTTTAAATTATTCAAATTCACTGTATTTTATAACATGAAAAACGCGGGAAACGCGCTACGTAATCATCCGAGAACACCAGATTCGACTTACGAATCAATTCTCCATTTCTAAAAAAAAGGGTTTTATTTCCATAACTAGTGCATATCTTACAATTCATTAATCACATCTCTCAATGAGTCATGATTTATATCACATATATGGGAAATTTTGTTGAAGTTATCACACATAATATGAATTTGGGATTTCAGCATAATTCTTGTTCTAGTAGCAACATTGTAGAACATGTTTGATTGTCTACTGTTCAATCTTGGAATGAGAAAACTTATTTGATTCAGAAGTACGGAGCAATCGATTTGGTTATGCATTAATTTGTAAAGAAATGTCACACTCAAAATTATTCGACGTCTTTCTAGAGATATTTCTGATAGACAAGTACAAGAATATTTCTGATTGTCATTTCAATCAGAATATGGAATGCATTTTGGATTGAATACCTACTGCAGATAACAGAGAACACAACACATAACTAAAGAATCACATAATATGAGGATTATATTTGAGTATTGCATCTTGACTAGGCGAAACAAGGGTTTGATGATGAAGATGACTGCCGATTTTAACGTCAGGAAGTTAGGTTGACAATGTAGTTTGTCTTCTTTCCCTTCTTTTTGTATCTCTGGGAACTTAGGCATCACACTGTTTTTTTTTTTTTTTTTAATTGACTCTGCCGTTACTTGATGGAAATCCATGATAAATGTAAAAACTTCACAAACGATAAGATTTCCACAAAATTTATTAAACACACGACATGTTTCGCTAACACAGTAGCTTCGTCAGGTGATATACTGGTACAATGAACTAAACACGTTGGCTTGCTTAACTTTTATATTCTTACTAAGAAAACAAATTCAACAGTGGTGAACTATTAAGATCTAATTGGTCATTAAGTAAAATGTCAAAATTTTTGAGTTTGTTGATTTCTAATGATTCAAAATGATTGAGTTTCAGTCCTTTATTTTCTATGTGCAGAATTTCAAAATTATCATCAAAACTATGGTTTTCTTCTAATATATAGTTGGCGTATGTTGAATTTGTTTTCTTTTTCATAAAATTCATCTTATGTTCATGAATGCGCTTATTAAACGTACGACCTGTCTGACCGATATATACCTTAGGACAAGATCCACATTTGAGTTTGTATACCCCTGATTTTTCGAATTTAGAAGTTTTGTCTTCATCTTTATCAAGAATAACAAAATTAATATACACCTTGGTAGTAAAGAATATTATTACCACGAGACCTCATACCCCTCGACTGAAACCTCGGGATATAATAATAATAATAATAATAATAATATTTATTCAAGATACCAATGGAATGAAAATAAAAATAATTATACTACAAAAATACATTTTCAGGTATAGAATAAATAGTATTCCACTAAAAGAGAACTTGTATGTGGAAATGTTTGACATTGATTACATGTAGGATAATATAATATTAACTTAAGGAAAATATGAGAAATTATAGGTAGTGACAAAAGTAAATATGATTGTCCTGAATAATAAATAACAATTCAACAATTTATGCATGTGGAAGAAACTGGAGACAGGCAGTATTCATCTGAAAGAAACACTTGTACGATGAAATAACCCATCTGAAGTTGAATGTTCCCAAGCAAAAATGTTTATTATCGAAATATATACTATATACTCTTAGTCTCTGGGTAATAATGGTATTCTTAACTACCTTGGTGTATAAATAACCATTATCTACTCACTGCATCGAAAGTCATCTTTTGCCCCCTCATTTAAGGACACACGCCTCTCAATTTACTTCCACGGGAGGAAACAAAATATTACCTCTCGTTGGAGGTAAAATAAATAGGTTTTAGCTTGCTTCCTTGGTAGAGATATTTGTATATATGATCTGTTTTACCCAAGTACCTAATCAGTGTCTTCATCACTATATACAGTGCAGACTCGATAATCCGAACGTTCAAGAATCCGAATTCTTCAGTAGTCCGAACAAGCATTTTTAATACATTGAGTACTCTATAATCCGAATTTCATAGTACTCGATAATCCGAACCTATACCTTTAGGCCTATTTATTTCCTATAGAAATTGTGAGTGAAATGTTCAGGGATTCCCCTAATTGTTCTTTTGTTAGTATCTGGGATTCACATTACACGAGGAATAGAATAATATTCCATTAAATGATATTCTTGTACTTCAAAGATTAAAAGAAATGGCCTTTATAAATAATCAAAGATGTGCTAAGCAAACAAAAATTACAAATTACTTTAGAAACTAGTATTATATTCTTACTTTTATGCATATTTCAGTGTTACTTTTTCGTATTTATGTTTTTTTGCATTTCCTAATAAAAAATTAAAAAAAAACTGCTTCGGTAATCCGAATTTTTTGGTAATCCGAATCGCCTTGGTTTTTATTAGTTCGGATTATCGAGTCTGCACTGTACTAAAAAACAATCAACAATTTCCTTTTTGAACTTTAATGGTCTCATACACCTCCTCATATTCCAAAACTACTCAATCAAAACTTTGAATAAAATGCAATTACACAATGAACAAATTTAATGTAACATAAGTGTCAAATTGATTTTCGTTCGATTCAAATACTGTCGATTGAAACCTTAGATCATGTAACACATTGATTTGGATCGAGACTCGAGAGATAGACCGATTAAAACACAATTTTACGAAAGACGCTACGCGTCGTGCATCAAACTTCACACGGGGGAGGAAATGAATACCTTCCCTCCCTTGATATATAAATAGCAATTACTGTGGTATTACATAATATATGAACATTTCCGTACCGGTCGATGTTGTTTCAGATATTTGGGCGATAGGCTGCATATTCGCCGAACTGCTGACGTCCGAGCCGATCTTCCATTGTCGACAGGAAGACATAAAGACCAGCAATCCGTACCACCACGACCAGCTGGACAGGATATTCAACGTGATGGGATTCCCACACGAGAAGGATTGGGAGGACATCAAGAAGATGCCGGAGCATCCTACCCTCCTGAAAGACTTCAAGAAGACAAAGTATGCATAAGTTATTTTCGTAGAAAATGATTTGATTTCGGAAAATCCAGATACCGTTCATCTCTGTACAGGGTGGCTGGAATACGAGCCTCACCATTAGGATCTCGTAAACTGTAAGAGATACAGGGTCGGTTAAATCATGGCAAAGTTGTGCAATGTTATGCCTAGCAAAATGTTCTTTTGGAATTCGAAAAATTCCGAATACTTCCGAAGATTTTTTGAGAAAAACGAAAATTTGAGATTTCATTTTTATTGTTTGTTTTTCAATGAATGCAACAAAACAAATTACACATTCTAATGGATATCTGCTATGAAAATAACAAGTCCCTGTGCAGTGGCGTAACTATACTGTTAGAGACCCGTGGCAAATTCAGCGGATGGGCTCCCCACAATAATAGAAGTTTTTATTTTATAAAACTTTTTTATACACTTTTTCTTTTTGAAGTTTAATAATGAATCATCACGTGAAGTAGGTATTAATTGTGATTACTGGATTTTTTAATAATTCACTCTGAAGTAAAAGTACATAATTATTCAAAATTTTATTTGAAGCTATAGAACATGATTTTAATTATTGAAATTTCTTTCTTCGCACTGTCTGTTGTGCAAAAGTGTTAATGACATCATAAATGTTCAAATTTCGGGCCACAGACTTTTCGATGGATAGAATAGCTAAGTTGCTGCTTGGGGTAGTAATCTACCCTATCGGTTTTGATTGAATTTCAGGACTTTGAGACGAAAAAAACCGTTGTCTGATGTGGAATTATATTATTTATAACAATAATAATTAAACAAATTAATTTGATTGATATACTTGAATTGAGTAATGAATTTCAATGAACGAATAAATATTACACGCACGTCCCTTTTATTAATTTATTTTCTCCTAGATAATATGAACATTTGACTACCATTGCAGACTGATCGTTTTGAGGTTGAATTTCCATTTGTACATACACGAATTCAGATATAGAAGATTTCAAGTCTGTCCCGCGTGGGGTATGAATATACTCCAGGAACAATTAACCAACTGTTTACTATGATGTGTGCAGAACTAATGAGGAAACACATAAAAATACTTGTTAATTAATCGTATTTAGCAACTGAGCTGGCGTGATTTTTCAGTGCCGTGCAGAATAAGAAAAATAAATCGTAATTTGATATCGCCTGGGGTATTTCGAGAGTCGCATTCCCACACTTGTGCTGGAAAAACTTTCAACACTAAATAGAGTGCGGGAAAGAGGAACTTGGGTTTTTATCCGCTCGCTAGTAGAAAAAAATAGTGACTTTTCCGCACGCAATTGCAGACGACCGAACGATGATGGCTTCATAGCCGGAGCGCTCTGCTATGATATATCGAATGAACCCTTTCAATCAATCAATCAAATCAATAATCAAAGTTAACCTGATAAAGTGTTGATTTTGATGCCTCATCAAACTTTTTAGTTTCATTTTTCAAAGTTCAATTATCACCTTTTGGTGATTCAAGGGCACGTGGGCCCTTGTAAAATTTGAACCCGACCCAACACCGTTTCAAATATTATGTTTATAACATAATAAAATATCATGAGCATATTTTCCTGTCTGTCCTGTTATTAACTATATCCTATTTGTATGTCCATTTTTATGAAAGACAAAAGCCAAGGAAAAGGCCATTTGAAGATGACACTCCTTTGAGTGAATTAAGTAAATATAATTTTCCCAAGTTTGTGCCAATGTTGAACCTGATAATAGTCGGGTTCTTTTGGCTGTTTAGTCGATTAAAAAATTAAGGCATCCCTTTACCGGACTGATTTTTGGACAAACCACGGCTCTTTAATTTTTAATCTCATTTTATAATATGATACACATGGCCTCATAGGTATGTTTGTTTCTCAATAACGTATTATCCTCTGTAAATTAAATATCTTTACAGGTACTGTGTACTGATGTGTCTGAAGTTACCTGTTTGATCCGAAACTAGTCACAAACTATACAATTGTGTAATATAATTTTTGTGGTCGGTCGACTTGGTGTTATCTTGGTTTTTTTTTTCGAAAAAATCGACTACTTTGAATGGATGGTTTCCATGACATAACCTAAAGTGTTTTAAATGGAACAATGATGTTGCCAACCTTGAAAATTAAATCAGATATCGGTAAAAAATCCATAAATTACAATGGAATGATGCAACACAATTCGCTACCAAATAATCAAGAATCAAAGAAATATATACTACTGTGATGTTGACTGATTTTAATAGTTCTTTTTCACAATCACTATAGGCTGAATCAATTAAAAACCATTTTTAGATAAACTTAAAAACGGATTTATTTTGTTGAATATATTTGTATATTTACTATATTTCTTACTATAAACAAATATTTTTGCTTGGGAATACTGAAGTTGATTGATTGATTCAAATCTTTGAACCTGTTTCATTGAAGATGATGGAAACCTGATTACAATTTCCGTAGCTATGTGAATTGCTCTTTGGTGAAGTACATGGACAGGCACAAGATAAAGCAGGACAGCAAGGCTTTCCACCTCCTGCAGAAGTTGCTCCTCATGGATCCGAACAAACGCATAACGTCCGAGCAGGCCATGCAGGATCCTTACTTTGCCGAAGATCCTCTTCCTACGCAGGACGTTTTTGCAGGTCGGTCTGAGTGTTTTATCATTATCAAAACATAGATTTATACTACATACTGTTTTACCACTAACGAAACCGATTTTTTACACCTCCACACGTGTTTCGCTAACTATGTTAGCATCTTCAGAAGAAGATTGAAACTAAATGCTCTATCCTAGTGGGCTACTTATATACTAAGAATATGTCCACCCAACCGTGAATAGACAATAACCGTCAAGTTAATGTTATTCATGGTTGAGTTCAGATGTTACCAACGATTTTGGAAAATATAAGGGCATTACTCGAGAATATAACAACCTTGATCGGATTAATATCAAAGAATTGGTCGATCTCACAAACCTCTGCATGAGCCAAAATATTTTTCAATAGAGAAAATAATTAATGTAAAAACTTCACAAACGATAAGATTTCCACAAAATTCTCGAACACGACATGTTTTGCTAACACAGTAGCTTCGTCAGGTGATATACTGGTACAGTTCATTGTATAAATTTAAGTTGTCACTCAGGAATTTTACAACTTTTCAAGCAGATGAAAACAATCAGAGAAAAATCCCAATCCCGTTCAATAAACAAGTACACAAGTGGACTTGATAAGGTTTTCAGAGACTTAGGTTTTGAAAGGCGTCCCATAAAAACAAGGTTCAAAGAACACTTAGCACTGAAGAGGAATATTCTCAGATATATTTAAGAACACAAAAAATTGATATATTTATATAAAGAAATACATTGAGAATCCGCATTCTCCATGTGATGAACATATTAATTCTTTCTCGGTTGATTCAACAGGAAAACAACTACTTTCCTGGATATAGCCAGGAAAGTAGTTGTTTTCTGTTGAATATTCAGAATGATATTATGTGAATATCTTTATATGAAGGAGAATGCAAATTCTCTACTTGAGAATATTTTCTTTTCTGATTATCATGGGTCAACCACATTAGAAAATGTAGAGCAGTTAAATTTTAAGCAGTGATAACCAGCAAAAAATGGATTTTACTGTTTTTGGTGCTGTTTCATGGTATAATGTCAATATGTTATACATTGTTGTGAATGTGAAGGGTATTTTTCGCCCTATTCAATGGTATAAAAAACGAATATGGCGCCCATAGGAAAAACGAAAGTTGCATGGTGAATCTTCGAAAATATTGATGATAGAGTATTTCTTACAAACCGAAGTCTTCGTCATGTATAATTTCCAATTAACGCAAAATTTCAAATTTCTACCTCCAATATTAACGCAGAAAATAAATAAAGACGATATCAGTGATTTTCAGTTGTTTTCAGAATATTTCAGGAACAGCTGACATTTGTCCAGATTGCAAAACGTCATATTGATGAGTTTCAAATTACGTCACTTTTGTCTAATTTAATCAACTTTCTATCTCTTTCCGTTTAGAAGATAGCAATACTGTCCCTATTAAATCGCCCGGACCCTGTATAGTAATTTTATTGAAAATATGTAAACGAAATGAATACAGGGTGTTTCCGAGTTGTGGTGACAAAAGCCTAGGGGAGATTCCCCTAAAAAAAATATGAAAAATGTTTACATAAACATGGGTTCAAAAATAATTCGCTTCCGAGTTGAATAATAGTACATCATAAATCAAGGGACAGAAATGCAAGATTTTTTCCAAGGTGCGATTTGTAGCTCGAGGGTGAAGCCAGCATTCTGTCTTGAGGTGTATATACTATTCTTTACGCTGGCGAAATCACAGAAATTCAGAAAGAATGAAAATTTGGTCAAAGTGTTTTGTCATAATAATTATAGTCCAATAAATGAAGGAGGAAAAAAAGGCAACGTTAACGTTAATCACGCACTATTATCATCTTCCGGTTGGAAGTAGCTTTTGGTACCTCATTAAACATGAGACAAAGTTTGACTGGAAAACGCGTGCGATGGCGGAGAAAATGGCCCCAAAAGACCAGGAAAATAGTTTTTCAGCCAATATCTCCTAAAATATGGCAGTTAGAGATTTTCGGTTCAGATAAAAATTGAAGTTCAGTTAATTCTCTACAAAAATAGTCCTTATCGTTTTTCTCGAAAACGGGAAAATTTTTGAGCACGAAGCGCACCTCGAATAATGAGCTTCTGTGTTGTATGCCGGAGAGCACAGTCCGTGTATTTACACATCGGCGGGGGGACAAATTATTCAATAACTGTTAAAAATGCATATTTTCTCATGATTCAAAGTTCATGTGAAAGAGGAATTCTGCTGCTATCATACCCTGCGTGGCCGCATGGTTTGTAGCAGACGACCAGAGCGCCACGTAGAGCACACACGCGGCGAACGACGGAGGAACGAAAGTAATAAATTATAGCGTGTACATTTAGATATACTGGTTTTTTCCCGGGATATGAAAGGTATGACTTATATACATCGATGGAAAGGTGGGAATTCCCCCGTTACACTAGTCAAGGTTTTAAAATCTTAGAAATAAAGAGCACGGAGAAAAAAACCACCGAAAAAAAGGGCGTTTTTTCCTTGACCCCGCTTTTTCTAATTTTATTGAAAAATGGACGACTTCGTCTAAAAAAGTAATTGCACAATCGAAAAGTAGACCTTCTTAGCTTTCAAATGGTGTATCATAGAAACCAATCGGATCATGTATAAATTTTTAATTGATGGTTGTTCACAAAATTTTCCCGCGCTCCAAAAACAGCAAAAAATTGGGATTCAATGAACAAAGATTGAATGAAAATTAAAAATAATTTGGGTATACAGATTTCAGGGATGACAAAGGACCTTATGAGGACCCATAATCAAGAAAATTTTGAGTAAATTAGTGCAATACAGAAAAAATAGGAACAAATTCCTGGCGAGGTCAAAATTGACCGGGAGCAGAAAGTTTGACCCATGTTCCGATATGGCCAAAAGAGTCAAGCGTGACTCAATTCACAGGGTATGATAGCAGCAGAATTCCTCTTTCACATGAACTTTGAATCATGAGAAAATATGCTTTTTTAACAAAGTTATTGAATAATTTGTCTCCCCGCCGATGTGTAAATACACGGACTGTGCTCTCCGGCATACAACACAGAAGCTCATTATTCGAGGTGCGCTTCGTGCCGTTTTTCTCGAAACCGGGCAATTTTTCGAGAAAAATGATAAGGACCATTTTTGTAAAAAATTAACTGAACTTCAATTTTTATCCGAACCGAAAATCTCTAACTGCCATATTTTAGGAGATATTAGCTGAAAACCTATTTTTCTGGTCTTTTGGGGCCATTTTTTCCGCCATCGCACGCGTTTTCCAGTCAAACTTTGTCTCATGTTCAATGAGGTAACAAAAGCTACTTCCAACCAGAAGATGAAAATAGTGCGTAATTAATGTTAACTTTTTCCCTTTATTTATTGGACTATTAGTAGTAGTATAGTTTGTGGAATTCGTATCTTGACAACATGCATTTTGTTGACGACCCATGGTGATAGCAAATATCAAACTGAAATATATGAAAACAGCTTTGAAAATGGTTACCTGTTATAGAACGAGAAATCGAGGGAAAACCCCAAGACACTGATCTGCTTCTGCAGTGATTCTTAACTTGCTACCATTGAGATCTAGAAAACTGTATGATGCAGCTTATATTCGCTTCAGAGAAGGGTGTTCCGAAAAGAAAGCACAGGGCTATGCGGAAAATGTGAAGTTGGTATGTCACATTATCTCCCTAGGGACTTCCGACCCTCTTTTGTTACCAGAGACACTAACTTCTACTCCTGCCGGCGTAAAAAACAAATTTTCATTAATATCTTGAAGATGTTTAAGCCGATTTGAATAACATTCACATGGTTCATTTACGCAATTATCACTGGATAAATTAGATTTGATCTAGATGTTCCAGGGGCGTACCCATCGAGAAGATCAGATTTTTTGTAGAAAAAAAGTCACTGTTTTTTTGTTCCTTGAATATTCAGATAAACCCACTGAAAATACAAAATTTCTGCAATTCGCTATTTTTTCGTATCTTGAAAAACGGACAATACAATTCCTTGGTGTATCTCTTTGAACTCCATAAAAATAAATGAAAATGCTTAGCTTTTAGTAGAGGGGCTATAGGGATTCTGGCTCAAGCCAATCAGAGACCAGCATTTGGTTGGAGGCCACGCCCACTAAAAACCGGCGCGAAATTCAAATTACTCATACGTCGTCACGTCGCCATCGTGAATAAATAAATTAAAAAAAGCTGTCACCGCCGGGGGAAATTGAACCAGGGACCTTTGCATTATGAGGCAGCGTATATACGCACTGTGGTATTCCGACCTCCGTGCTATTTCAATTATTTTAATGCTATTCAAACGGGATATCCATAGCTGGCGCGCGCTTATCTTTGCAACGGATCCATCGAGGTAGAGTGAAGCGAGAGATGCATTCCAGAGATAAGAAACTTCGAGTCGAAAATAATATCCATCGCTGGCGCGCGCTTATCTTTGCAACGGATCTATCGAGGTAGAGTGAAGCGAGAGATGCATTCCAGAGATAAGAAACTTCGAGTCGAAAATAATATCCATCGCTGGCGCGCGCTTATCTCTACACGGGTGCAGCGACAGCAAATTTCGCAATCAACAGCATAACAGATAAGGTTGGAGGTTATCAAAACCACAAAAAACCCAACAACAAATTTCACAATCAGCAGAATAACAGGAAACGTCGAAGGTTATCGAAACCACAAAAAACCTAACAATTTCACAATCAGCAGCATAACAGGAAACGTTGGAGGTTATCAAAACCACAAAAAACCCAACTAGTCGCATAAACAAAATACGCGATAAGAATGACGCAAGAAATTATCGATATCAGCAGTCGTTCCAGATGGGTTTTTCCAGAACATCCGCGTCTACTATCAGCAAGTCACGAGGTAACTCCGCCAGCATATAAAAGCGATGACGCTACACAACATCATTCACACTCGAGTCTGCAATCGTGAACGTTGTCTCTTGACCAGCTCCAGCCAAATCATCACTGTTTGTGTGTGTGTGTGTGTGTGTGTGCATTAATAGCAATAAT